ATTTTTTTTTTCTCCCTAACAAATCCCTAGACATTTTTTATTACTTTTTCTATCATTTTGTTCTTATTTCTTTTCCATTTTTATTACTCTAATTCTCACTCTATTAGGAGAGATTATTTTCTTTTGTACAATTTCTCTTCGAAACAGCTCTTTTTCGTCATTTCGTTTTTCTTTCCGTATTTTTATTTCAGTTTAAGAATAAAAATGATAACTTAAGAATGATAATTTCCCTTTCTAGGGATGAAAATAAAGAAAGAAAAATTTTAGGGAGAAAAAATAAAAAATGAAACATGGGACTTCTTTGAGCAGATTTGTGAAAGGTGAAATTATTTATATATGGTTTTCAAGGAAATGGTAAAAAAATCTGGTATAATAGGTCATCAACAGGTCATGGTCCAATGAAAAAAGATGGGTGCAAAGGTGGGATTATTCTGGGATTACGTAAAGGTGAGATTATTATAGGTGGGATTATTCTGGGATTACGTAAAGGTGAGATTATTATGAGAAGACCAGTGAAAAGTGAAATTATTCTTGTCAATTTTTCTAATTTAAAATAGTACACGAGGAATGTTGTATGAGAAGGGGGATGGTGGCATTGGAGATGGTATTGATGAGAAATGAGTAGATGATAGTAAATACAAATGACTAAAAGAGTACAAAAACGACATTGGTCTAAAAAATGGAATATAATGATGATAAAAGGAGAAAAAAAGACAAAGGGAATTACTGCGTAATCAATAAAAGAAAGTGTATTTTCTTTCTTCATGATTTTTTAGAATCCCCCACACCGAAAACAAAAGATGCTTTATGGAATAATAAAGTAATGATACAAACGCGATTCAACATTGAGTTGAATACTTTTAAAGGAGTATCAAGTGGTGTGACTAAGCCAAAAGCATTGGAGTTCATTTGTATACCCTGGTTCACTTATTTATTACACAAGATCAAAATTTCTTGTAATAAAGAATTGGACCAGGATATACAAATGAATCACAATGTCTAACTTTTATTTCTACTCCTTATTCAGTGCCATTTTTTTAAATAAATTTTGTATTCAAAATGAATTTAAAAACGATTTTTTTCGAGGGGGTCTTCGGTGGTACATGATGTCTCAAAAACAATTTTATTTGGAACTAGACAAATTCAATGACAACCTAACCACTGAGAGGCCGTTTGGTAACATCATTTTTCGGCTTATCAGACTTATCAGCCAACTTTTTCACCAAACACGTAACTTTTACTTTTGCGTGCTGAATTGTGTAATAAGTAGAAAAAGTAAGGTTGAACTTACTTTTCTGGCTTTATTGGTTGAAGTTACTGTAGATGACCATTTTAGCAATTTTTACATATAATTTTTTCTTTATTTTATTAATAAAATATATTTTAAAAATAATTTTTACTTAAATCAGCAGAAACAGCCAAAGCAGCCACTTCAGCCAGAACTTCATAAATTTCAGCAGAATCAGCCAAAACAGCCGATTTTTGTGCTACCAAACGGGCTCTGATATTGTATCTCCGTCATTAACTCTCTTCATATTCTTCTCATTTAATTAAAACAAACATTCCATCAGTCCCCCTATCTACAATTGTCTCATTTTACATTTTATGTAATTTCCATTAAATTTGTCCCACACAATAAACATATTTGATAATATTCGGGTGGTTACTTTTTCATTTTTACTTTTTCCACATTTTATTAATTTAATATCAACAACACAATCTCAATATTAGACGGACAAAGGTAGTATATATTAGCATGAGATATTCAAGCTGATAAAAGTTTTTTGCATAAACCAAAGCATTCCCTCGAAAAAATGATATATATGTGGTCAGAGAGTTCTAAAATCCGAAAAGAAGGTGTGGTCTCCTCCCACTGGCAATGCAAATACTTCCCGACGACCCACAATGCCCAAAACCAACAACTACTCATGCTCCAGAGAGAGGTATTTTCACAAAGGTGTGATTTCGGATCCACAGATTATTGGCTCTATCCTTCCAAAATCAACGTGTTGACCGTGTTGCTCCTAAGTTGACCTCGTTGATCATCTAGCTCCGCCAATTCACCTGCAAAATAATCACTAAAAAGAACTAAGAATATATTAGTGGCTCGAAACGCGTCAGACGCTGTCCTAAGGAATTATTTCCGGCGTACGGGAATTTCTCCCAAGATATAACGAGCTCTTCGGTTATAAAACCTGTACCAGAACTAACGAGAAGAAATTAGTATATGAACCCAGCAATAAACTATTTTTGATGATTAACACTTATAAGGTAGTTATATGTAATACTCATGTTTTCCCAAATAGCATGAAGCTTAAACCTTCCCTAATAGGAGCACGCAACAACTATATGTATACATGTATGTAATCCTCTTTCACAAAAAATTCTTACGTAGCAACATGCATTAGGGGTATATATACAAATTATATAATTTAATACACCAATTGGTTGCTTATAGGTTGGGCACAATTTTTAATATTAAATACAACATTAATGGAATATCTTAATAGTAATTAATTAGAAGTGAACGTTACATATGGACAAATGAATATCATACTCACGCATACGTTACATGTATGCATTAATATTAAATAATATGTATCGTTACATATTATAAAATAGTGTAGAAAACACAATTAATAGAAATAATAATTTATTCATTTGAAATATTTTCAAAATTTCCAACACAGATAACCAACCTAATAGACAAGTCCTAGAGCATCTCCAATTTCCAATAGAGATGTGGATTGTAGAGGTTAAAATGTGGACACATCACTACCTAATTAAATAGGCTATGAAAGAGGACGTGGGGTTAACTTGGTCAAATATATTGTTAAATTATACTAGTAATTAACTTCTTCTCCAATGCACCCGTACATGACTTTTTATCCTTTGTTGCTTCGTCCAACAGTACTCTTAGGTCCCGTTTGGTATGACGTAAAGTAAACACTTTGCATTCAAAGTGTGAGGAAGTAAACATTTACACCATTTGTTTTAATTATTTGATGTACACTCTAGGACACTTTTTTCAAAACATTTTACACAATACCATGTAAAATGTTTTACGTAGGAGAGGGTAGTAAACTAGTTTACCCGGCTGAATGCGGATGATAAAATATACTCCGTATCAAACTTTGATCCATCTTTGACCATTCAGCATTTAGCCCTAGTTTCTACGATTTGCGGCAAAAATAAGGTTGGCGGCACAACCTTAACTAGTTTCCTCCCGCATATAGGAAAAGAGAATTATATATATATATATATATATATATATATTCCTCTAAAAATGGATCCAACCCGTTCTCCACCTAGATACAATATCAACAGCCCCCCTTCCAAAGAATTCATCATTTTGCACGACAATCTGCCAAGAGAAATTTTCAAATTGATCCTACGACTCACCCAAATTTTGAAATGGCTATGCAGTTATGGCAAAATGATTCTAATTATGTACAACATTCTCATGCTACATGTCCATCAAATACATGACTCGTGTTTACTCCAAAAACAAACCATTTTCCACAAGATCTGAATGCTTTTTTGTACTCAACATAGTTTCTTTCCTCAACTTCAACCATATATGATCCTTCAATGTTTGCAAGTAGGGTAAGTCGTGAAAATGTGACTTCTATTAATCTTGGAGATGGACGGGCCATTACATACGTCGGTTCCTTGGACCATACCTGAAGATGTGGCCTTAATATGAGCATATATTCATGCATGTGGAGACAGAGGTAGTATATTCAAATTCGGATAAATAAAAAGGGACGGAGGTAGTATAATAGCAGCTTTAGTGTAGATTATTTATTTCTTTTATAGTAAACTTAATGGTATATTGTGTCTGTATTATGCGACTAACAAGTACATAGTAATATGGAAGGAAAAATTTCATACATTTTAGAAAACTTAATATAAGTATGATTACATGTTTATGATCAAGATAAAGCTTATATTTATAAAAAGGGAAAACTGTCAAATAGGTCCTCGAACTTTCATAAAAAAGTCAATTAAGTCCTTCTATAGGAGACTTTGTCCGGTCATCGCGATTTGGGGTGGTTCCCGGTGGAATTTTTTGATGAAATTGTTTGAGCATCTTATTCATCAAGCCTAGTTTATTCATACCAAATTTCAGCTAAAAATTTAATCGGGAGGGCATTCAAATTAATTCGAGAACGCAAAAATGCGCAGTTATCTTCAAGAATGAATTTGAATGTGTTCCCGACTGAAATTTTAGCTGAAATTTGGTATGAGTAAACTAGACTTGGTGAATAAGATGCTCAAAAAATTCCACCGGGAACTGCCCCAAATCGCGACGGCCGGACAGAACCTCCTATAGAAGGACTTAATTGACCTTTTTATGAAAGTTCGAGGACCTATTTGACAGTTTTCCCTTATAAAAACGTGACTTATAAAGTGTACTGACAATCAGGGGCGGAGCCAGAAATTAAAATGATTCAGGGTTCAGGGGATCGAAATTCAACTTTGCATAGAATGAAAATGGTATATTGTTTTTAGACAACCTTCAAATTAAATGTAGCTTAGATAATTAATAGTTTAAATGAAACTAATAGAGTTATATAGTTGATATATATGTCATATATATTACAAAAATGTTTTATACGGGTTTAGTTGACGAGTTTCCGCACCAATAACTGCATCGAATGAGACTTTGCCTTACCCTATTACCTTATAGTTCTCCTCTCACCCGGTTTAATACTACCTCCGTCTCCACCTTATGTTGTCTATACTTTGTTCTTAAGTCATGTGAATTATATGCTATTTTGGGAATATAATTAATATTACGCATCAAATTTTACTAATTTTAAGTTTAAATAGTGTTGATTATTCAGAAGTCATTACTTTTTACACGTAATGAGTTACGAGAGCCATAATATATCAATCGAAGATATTTCATACTAATAGTTTTATACTATCAAACTTTCAAAAAGTCGACTAACCACCCTGACCCCTTGGCTCCGCCTTGGTGACAATAGTAGTAACTTTCTTCTTAGGATCAGATCAATCTTTCCATTAAAAGGCCACATATCCACTCATCTACCCTCGCCAACGGTGCGCCGTGTACGCCCGTGTATCAATCATTCAACCAATCTGAAAATCTGATTCAATTGCGCCCAATTTTCATGGCTTCCACAGCCTCACTTCTCGTGCCAACGCTTCCAGTCCGCTCTTCGTCTAGCAAGCCGCGCAGTTCTAGAGCTTCGCCCGCGGCTCTGACCGGCCGGAGGCAGTGGCTGCTGCTGCTGCTCACCGCTACGACGACGCTGAAGGGCACGGAGCTGCCGTCGAGAGCGGAAAAAATCGGCCTGTTCGGCGTCAGGAAAAGAATAGAGAAGCTGGAGGAGGAAGCGGAGCTGCTGGTGAAGGAAGGTTTCGAGATGGCGGACAAGGGAATTGAAGCCGCAGAGAGGGAGATTGAATCGGCGGAGGAAGAGATCGAAGCTGCGGTGAGTTTCGGAGGTTTGGCGCAAGCTGGTGTGGTCGCTGGAGCGGAATTGATTGGAATTCTGATCGCCACTTCCGTCGTTAGCGGCATTTTAGGGCCTGAAGCTAAAAAATCGTGATTCGTGAGGATTGTCTTTGCAATTGTTTTTATTTGCTCGCATCGTTGTACTCCCATATCCAATTTTACCTTGTCCACTTCATTGTTAGGAAATTTCATTGATACTGGTTACATTTTCTAGTTTTTTGATCCATATATTTGTGATGTAAACCTGTTTTTCATTGAAATAGTTACTCTACCTGAAGTGCCTTCAATATAGTTTAAATGCAATTTTTATAAAGGAAAAAAATGATAATGAGCCAATTAATTGAAAACATTAAAAAATTAAATAAGATGTCATTGTAATAACAAACTAAAAAGTAAAACATCATGTAATGAAATAGATGAGTTTGCAAGTCCATGAACGTGTCAAGGAAACTTACAAATTATTACAACTCTTTCTATACAACATTCACAAGGCAGGCAATTGGTCATCCCATCCATCTTCGTAACATATCACAAATTTCGATCAACTCATTGACACATTACTAGTGGTGGCCGACTGGGTCCGGGCGGACCGACTTGGGACCGACCTGGGACCGGTATTGTTGGTACCGGCCCAGGCCCGGTTTTCGGTACTGGTAGTCTGGTACTGGTCCGGTACCCGGATCGTGGTAAGAATATGGGAGGATTACATCCTTGAATTTTGGGACTTGGCCCAATTGGCTATATGACCATTGCGGGCGGGGGCGGTTTGAAGGGGGGGGGGGGGGGTTGGGGGTGGAGTATGGGGGAGGGTGAAGTGCAAAAAAAAAATTGTATAAATATACCTATTTTCTAAATGTTTTCCAACACCTTTTCTCCAACGCTTCCTACTCTCTCTAATCATCTTCATCTTTTTTCTTCTTCAATTCTCTTTACACAATTCTATAATCTTATATATACTTATATTAATGTCGCATTTTAGTAATTACATGTAAATATTAGTTGCATATTATTTGTACTCACATTTCAAAATTTGTTACATATTAAAGTCACATATTAGTTACATTTTTATTTTAGTTACAAAATATTAAACTCACATTTTAAATACATTTTCAAAGTAGTTGTATTTTCATTGTACTCACATTTAAAGGTTTGTTCGCAAGGAATTTAATACTTTTTATTCCCTCCGTCCCTTATAATTTTACCAACTATTCTTTTTGGTTGTCCCAATATCTTTTCCACTTTCCCTTTAAATCAATCGATTGCGGCTCATATTATTTCTCTCTGCACAAATAGCTATCACACAGTTTTTACTTTATCATTCTACGTGTCGCTCAAACTTGGCAAACCGTTAAGCAATAGAGGTAATACATTTTAAGATGGACTGTCATAGACATTCTGTAGATATAGGCAACCTCCCATGCAACAGAAAAAAGGAGATTGCGAAAGGACATCATAGTTTGCGAGACAAAGATAAAGGACATGTTGGGTCTTCTTCTCAAAGCTGAGATGATTTTGATGCATATTTCTAACTGGCTCAACTATTTGTCCAAGGACATGACTGTTTTTATCAACAAGAAAACAGTCCCGGGATTAACGAAGAGTTAGAGGATGACGACGATGAGGAGGAGGAGTCGGTGACAACCGAAGAGGAACAAGGCACTGAGGAAACCCTTGGCGAGAAGGAGGAACAAGGCGCCAATTCATCCAAACCTGGTAAAAAAAAAAGCAAATCACTTATTATTGAAAAAAAATTGATAAGGTCAATAACTCAAAAGATGAGAGGTGGTATACAACTTGCAAACATTGTAAGAAGTTTTGAGCTTGGGTATTTAAATGGGATACAACGGCTGCCATAGGCACCCCACCGAGTGAGTGAAAATCAAAGGTAAGGGGACACAAACAAAAATATCGAGGTTTAAAAATAATCAACCATGGCTTCCATGATTAGTTGAAGGTCCGACGTAGAACTCAAGAACTTTGCATCATCTCGACCGCCACTTCATGGAGGAAACAACAACCGACGCTGGCGGAGATTTTGATGACTAGGAATTGTATTTAATGTTTTAAATTATTCTCAATTAATATACATTTAACTTTTAATGTGTAGCAAATGTTGAATATATTAGGAATATAAGAAAACTAACCAAACCCGACCGAGGACCGAGGCCCGACCGGGTACTCAAACCGGTACGGGTACCGAAGAATATACAAGGTTGGTACCGGGCTTGACCTTTTTGACCTTTTAGCCTTTTAAAATTTTACATGATGCAAGCCCTCAGAGAATCCATGTAGTGTTCAAGGCCCCTCAAGGGTGTTCACGTGGACAAACAAAAATTTATATTTTGTTTAGGTTTAAATATGTTTTTAGTCCCTGGAAATATAGGTCACTTTGTTTTAGGCCCTTGCAAAATATTTTCTTTGTTTTTCATCCTTGAAATTTATGTTCATTTTCTTTTTAGTCCATGACTAATGATAACAACCTCTATTTGACAACGAAACAATCCCGACTAATAGGTATCCTTAAATTCTTTGTCATACCATTCAAAAAGTATTTAATTTCATTTTCAAAGGATTTTTTATTAATATTTTTTAAAAATGTGAATAATTAGTTTTAATATTGTTTTAGCTCTCTCATTAACCTCAAAAAATTATGAACTGATAAATTTAAATGCTTCTAGTTGATTTATGCAACCGACAATAAAAAAACTCTAAGTAGCTAGAGTTGTTTCGGAGTTAGAGATGGAATAAAACCAAAATAGTGCATACTACAGGAATGGAAAACAAAAAAAATATTTTGCAGGAACCTAAAACAAAGTGACCTATATTTGCAGGGACTAAAACCATATTTAAAGCTTTTGTTTAATCAAAATGACATCCTTATAATGCTTTTTAACAAAAAAAAATGAAATGTCTTCGTTCAGTTCCTGAATCCCAAATTGTCTATTCCTTCACTCCTCATCCTCCAAGAGACCATAGCCAAGACCTCCAGGCTCCAGGCTTCAGTGCTCCACACGGTCGGCTGCCGCCAGGGGCGGATTCACGAATTCGGGATACCCTGGGCTGAATAGCAGTTATACTGGGCTTAAAATTATCGAGGTGAGCTAAATGTGAAAATGAAAAAAATACACTAAAAACATTGATTTTTTTTAAGTTGCCCTGAGCTTCAGCCCACCATAGCCCGTACATATCCTCCCCTGGCCACAGTACCGCTGCGCAGGTTGGTATTGTTTTTATGCTTTTTTAATGAGTTTTTCTGATTTGGTTTTCTGTAAGTATCAATTGTGATTTGTATGTCTATTTTGAGTTTTGACTTTCGGAGGAAATATGATAAATATATACGGAGTAATGAGAGACTGGGAGTATTGATTATGGATACACCTAGTTGCCGACTTGCTGAGTAATGAGAGTAATATGATAAAGAAATATGGAGTTTTTCTGAATTGGTCTTCATAGTTGGTAATTGATTGATGAGATTTGCTCTTTGTACACACATTAGTACACACATCTATACACACTATATATATCTAAAAAAATTACCCCTCCCATTCTTTTCTTTCTTTTACCCCTTCTCTCTCTTCACCCTTACTTCTTTTCTTTCTTCTGTGACCTCTCTGTCGTATTTTCTCCATTTCTTCTTTTTATTTTCATTCCCCTTCTCTTTATTCTTCTTCTTTTGTTTCTTCTTGCACCAACACAAAGGGGCAGTGGATTTTCGTAGGTCAAACAAGAAGCTCAATCAACAACCCATAATATTGAAGTACTCTCTGTAATAATTTAATTCGAATTTTCTTTGTGCATTTTAGGGTTATATTTATTTAAAATTTCTGATTTTTTTGTATATTATGTACTGTATAAGGCTCATTAGTTGAGAAATTTGTATTATTGCTAGAGAATGTAGTGTTGGTTATTGAAGTTTTAATTCAATAACTCTATTTCATGTTTATGCTTATAACATGTTTGTTGAAATGACTGAATGAGTTTTTTTGTTTAAATTCAAGATTTTTTACTTTCCTTTTTTGCTAATTAGTTCAAGACCCTAATTTTCTTGTTTCCCAATTTGAATAATGATATACAGAGTATTTTTTATTGACTATTTTATTTGATTAGTATGCTTTTGCTATTTAAGTAAATTGTGTGGAGTAAATGTTATACCCTATCAAACATGAATACTCCTAATTTAAGTAAATTATGTGGAGTAAATGCTATTTAAGTAAATTATGTGGAGTAAATGCTATTTTGCTAATTAGTTCATGATCCTAATTTTTTTATTTTCTTGTCTATTTTTAGATGAATACTCTGACTTGAACCTGAAATCTGGTATACCCTATCAAAGATGAATACTCTAACTTGAACCTGAAATCTGTATACCCATCAAAGATGACTGTCTATTTTTAGGCTCAAGTTATTCTTTTTCCCCTTAAAAACCTTCATATTTCTTATATCAAAGATGAATACCAGAAGAGAAACCATTGCTACATTCTCTCTTTACTAACTGTTAATGATTCTTTCCTTTAAAATGTCTTGTCAGACCACATTGTAGACTTTCTCATTGTTTTAAAATATTATAAACATCAATTTTTAGCCTATTAGCTCAAATGGTAGAGCGATGTACCATAAACACATGAATGTGGGTTCGAATCCCACATAGGCTACACTTAAGTGCTTAACATATGCATCATGTATTAATTGGTTCTCAATTCTCTTGACAGTGACTAACAATTTATTAACTCTTGGATTTTGTTAACTGTTGTATTCCCTTTTTTATTTGGCATCACATATTAACATTGTAATGTGTTTCCAGTGACTATTTTAAATTAGAAGTACAAAATTTTCAGGATTGATATTAAAGACCAATAAAACCACACTAGTAATATGCATTAGTGAGTTGCAATTCCCAAATAGAAGCAAAACCTTACATGAAAGAGACTGTTTTGGAATCAAAATTATCTATAGGACATAACAATAAAAACAAATCTGCTTATCAAAGTGCAATGAAACCACACCAGTAGCATACATTGTTTCACATTGTACAAAAAGAGATAAATGTATCATGATAGTCTTCTTCACAGCATACAAAAAATACTACTCAAGTACATCCTCGGATTCTAATGATGCTACAACATAATCTACTAAATCAGACATGAGCCAGAGATTTAGCGATAAAGGTCAAAACGTCAAAGGGTAGTAAAGAAAATAAACCCAAGGAACTGTTGGAGAAATTTGACTCCAACTCAATCCTCTTATTTTTATCTGTACTATCACATAAACTCTTCCAACAATTTATATCTTCTTTAATTGCCTTAGGGCAACGACTGATCTTTCTTGTTCTCCG